CAAAAGTCTTACCAAAATACATCATTACCCAGAAATTCCAAATAATAAATTTTACTAGCAGCTTTAAGGTAACTTATTTCTTGGGTGCCTGGGTGGCTCAGTTGGTTAAGTAACTGCCTTCGGCTCAGGTCATGATCCTGGAGTCCCAGGATCGAGTCCCGCATCGGGCTCCCTGCTCAGCAGGGAGTCTGCCTCTCCCTCTGACCTTCTTCCCTCTCATGCTCTCTCTCTACCATTCTCTCTCTCAAATAAATAAAAATCTTTATAAAAAAAGATAACTTATTTCTTGTCAGGCATCTCATACATGATTACTGTGTATAATGTACTATTTTGTACAATTTTTGAGACTATTTTATACCTTGGTATGTATCCTAAAACACATATTGAGTGTTTAGGTCAAATGGCCTAAATGTTTATTTGTAGTTCACTAAAGTGTAAAAAAGCCAATCAACAGAAATAGCACAATAAAAGGTGAGAATCAAGAAAAACAAGAGTATCATAATGGCCATCAAGTAGGACAAGAACATCTATTACTTTATTTTTACAAGAAAGGACACCGACAGAGTCAAATAAAAGAAATTTCATGCTGGGAAATCTACTTGTCTTTTAGAAACAGAACGACTTAAGTGTCTTCTCCCAATCAATTTAGATAATGGCATTTTAACAGTTTTCCATTATAAATTTTCAGCCTCTTTCTTTTCAACTGATGCTTTGTAAAAAGATTACAGACAACTTTGCATCATCAGTAGGAAATCATCCATCCCAAACTGGCTTTGCCTATTAACCAATATACTTCTGAGTTGCCTTCTACTTCCACTGAGTATATGTACAAGGAAAATGTATTACTTTTATATTTAGCTTAAATGAAACATTATTAAAGATAGGTGCTACAAGGGGCACTTGAGTGGCTCAGTAGATAAATCATCTGCCTTTAGGGGCGCCTGAGTGGCTCAGTTGGTTAAGCGTCTGCCTTCAGCTCAGGTCATGATCCCAGGGTCCTGGGATCAAGTCCCACATCGGGCTCCCTGCTTGGCAGGAAGCCTGCTTCTCCCTCTGACCCTCCCCCTGCTTGTGTTCCCTCTTTCGCTGTCTCTGTCAATTAAATAAATAAATAAAATCTTTAAAAAAAAAAATCATCTGCCTTCGGCTCAGGTCATGATCCCAGGGTCCTGGGATGGAGCCCTGTGTCGGGCTCTCTGCTCAGCAGGGAGCCAGCTTCTCCCTCTCCCTTTGCCATTCCTCCTGCTTGTTCTCTCTCTCTCTCAAATAAATAAATAAAATCTTTAAAAAGAAAAAGATAGATGCTACAAAAATGCCATTTGTTTACATTTTTATGTACCTAAATTTATGTTCCAGCTCAGCCACTTACTAGCTTAGGCAAGCTACAGAACGAATTTGTTCAGACTCTCTCTTAGCTTCAATTTCCTTATCTAAAAATGGAATAAAACTATGTTGCCTACTTTGTGGCATTTTTATAAGGATCAATTGAAATAATACATATAAACTATTTAGTTACATGCCTGGCCAGTAAGTGCATAGTAAATGAAAGCTATGATAATTCATAAAATAACTTCTTCACTGTAAATTAATTATGGTCAAACTAAAGATAACATAGAAAATACATAATGTTCAATGTACAAGTAGATTTCTCTCAAAGAAGAGATACAATCCTTAAAAAATATTTATTGATCTTTTGGTTACTTTTAATCAAATCATATTTATCTAACTTCCTATTCTGAAATTCCTCATGGAGAGAAAAATTCCCAATAGAGAAAACGTGGCTCCAAGTTGAACCTCTTTAAATCACATCTATGAATCCACAAATCTTTTAAAAAAAAAACACGCATTTAAAGAGGAAAGTGATAATAGTCTCAATAAACATTAGAATATTCAAACCACAAAACAGAAATGTTATAAAAAGTGTTAAAACACTGGGCGCCTGGGTGGCTCAGTTGTTAAGCGTCTGCCTTTAGCTCAGGTCATGATCCCAGGGTCCTGGGATCGAGTCCCACATCAGGCTCCCTGCTCCGCAGGAGACCTGCTTCTCCCTCTCCCACTCCCCCTGCTTGTGTTCCTGCTCTCGCTGTGTCTCTCTCTGTCAAATAAATAAATAAAACCTTAAAAAAAAAAGTGTTAAAACACTATAAATACTGTACACAAATTGAAAAATTTAGAAACTACCAAGAATCATTGTTTTCCTAGGGCTGCAATTATGAAAAAGGCAGATGCATCTCTGATACAGAGTGAGCAAATGGGGAGAGTAGCACAGGAAGATATTGAAGAGGTAAGGTGGGGATCAGATCATACAGGGCCTTATAGGCTATTTTAAGTGTACTGACTTTTGGACACCAAGTGAAATGGGAGCCATGGGAGAGATTTGATAAGCCAACTGATATGATATTGTTCAGGATTTAAATGGATAATATTTCTCTATTGAAAATATACTGTAGAGGGTCACAGTGAAACATGGAAACCAATTAATAGTAGTAGTCCTATAGTCCTACCACTATTGTGGCAGCCCAGGTAAGATTTCAACTAGTGTGGGAACAGTCAAGGTAGTAAGAAATGGTCAGCTATTCCAAGTACCTTACTTTGAATGAAGAGTTAATGGGTTACAAAATGAATTAAAGGTAAGAAAAAAAATAGTCAAAGACAATTCCAAAGATTTTGGCCTCAGTAACTAGACAGATGGATATATTGATTTTGAACTGATATATGAGTCTAGAGTTCAGACATGAGGAGGACTAAGCTGGAGGTAAATTTGAGAATTGTGAGCACACAAATGGGATTTAAAAGCACAGTATTGGTTGTAATTACCAAAGAAGATAATGTAGAAAGGAAAAGATGTCTAAGCACTGATTCCTGGGCCTCTACTTTAAAGGTTAAGAACATGAAAAGGAATCAGCAAAGAAGACTGAAAAGAAGCAGCCAAAGAAGCAGGAGGAAAACCCAATCAATGTTGGGGGTATGGGAGGGGGGAAGCATTTCAAACTGGAAAATGATCAACTGTCTCAATTGCTACTGCTAGGTCAATTAAGATGTTTTATCTCTGTGGTAAGGCTGTCACCGATGTCTTCTATTCTTTTCTCAATCCCAGTGAGTATCCTTATGATTGCTGCTTTAAATTCTCCATCAGGCATGTTACTTATATCTGCTTCACTTAGATTTGTAGCCAAGGCCTTATCTTGTTCTTTCATTTGGGATAAATTCCTTCATCTTTGCATTTTCTCTAAGTCTCTGTCTTCTTCTGTGTTAAAAAAGCCAGTTATGTCTGGCTTCCTTATTCCTGAAAGTAACGGCCTTATGAAGAAGAGGTCATGTAGTGCCCAAGGCTTGAAGCTTCAGGGAATGTCTATGGTATGTGCTGCATCTACTCTGCTGTTGTTCTGAGGCTGCTCTATCCTTCAAGCCAGTATTCTCTAAAAGCTCTCCTTGCCTGCTGTGGGCAGTGTTGGTCCCTGGCCTGAATGTGGCAAGTTTAACCAGATGTGCTCTGGTCTGCGTATGAAATGAGTCACCACCTCCACTGGAACTGAGGCCCTGCAAAACTCTGGTCAGGAAATGTGGCAAGGTCAGAGGTTTATGTTGGTCTTCCGGAGGTTAGGCCCACCGTGCTGGTCCTGAAGCAAGCCTGAGGAGGGTAGCTCCAATGGAGCACAGAGGCATGGGGCTTGGTGTAAGCAAATTATGCAGCCAGTGTTGGTACTGTGCTGCTTCCAGCAGTTGGCTCACTTTTTATGGTCTTATGTGTGGGGGAGGGGAATGGCTCCAGCAAGCTCCTTTGTTCCCAGAGAGTTATCTCAGTGAATGCTGCCTGTCAGGGGCAAGCTCAGGAGATGGCGAATAATCCCCATGCATTCCAGGTGCTCTTCAGATTGCTGTTTCCATGCCATCTGTCCTTAGGTTGTTTGCCTGCTTTCTCTCCAGGAGCAGGGTGGTGCCCTCAGGGATCTATCCCAGCCAAGCTTGCCGACTTTCAAAACTCCAGGCTTTAATCCCTACTGGCTGCAAGAACTCATGAAATTCAGCCCCTCTTGTTTTCCAAAGCCAATGGCTTTGGGGAACCATTCTCCATGTACATCCCCCCATGTGCTTCTCTTTCTGTCTCTCTCTGTCTCTCTCTCTAGCCCTTCTCCAGACCAGAGTTCCCTCCCCTCCTCAGTAGTTTTGATCCATTTTTCCCCTAAACCACATCTCTGCACTTCCTACCTTCTTTGATGTGGCTTCTTCTCTCCCTTTATTTGTGGAGTTTGTTCTGTCAGCCTTCAGGTTGATTTCTGAGGTATTTAGAATGATTTGATAGTTATCTACTTGTGTTCATGGGACTAGTTAAGTCTAGGGTCCTCCTACTCCACTGCCATCTTCCTTCTATTCCCAGGCATTGTTTCTCCTCTATGTGTTTGTTTTTGTTTTACCCTCTGTCTTCCCAACTCTATTTCAAACACCCAGCAAGATACCTTGCATTGTTTTCAGCAAAGTGAAATTTGGCCTGTTTTACGTCACAGAAACAGAAACACAAATTAATTAAAAAATTGATTCAATGTGCCAGAGACTACAAAATACTAGAGAACCCAAATAAATAAGAGAGCCCCTGCTTTCTGGAGCTCACTGTAAAAGTAATTAGGATGTTTTGTTCAAAAAACAGATACTTCTGAAAATAGTTCTGTTGTATCAACAGGCTCCTAGTCTCTTTTGCATGATATAAACACAGTCCAGGAGCACCTGGGTGGCTCAGTCATTAAGTGTCTGCCTTCCGCTCAGGTCGTGATTGGGGGTCCTAGGATCGAGCCCTACACCGGGCTCTCTGCTCAGCGGGAAGCCTGCTTCTCCCTCTCCCACTCCCCCTGCTTGTGTTCCCTCTCTCCCTGTCTCTCTGTCAAATAAATAAATAAAATCTTTAAAAAAAAAAAACAGTCCATACAAACATACCTACTTAAAACCCCATGCTACTTTGGACACACAAATTTTAAAATTACAACAAAAGTAGGGGTCTAACTTACCATCATTTTTTCAAAGAGATCCAGTACTTCCTTTTCTGACAAATTCAAAGATCGTTCATCATATAATGGCTGAGCTGCCGGAAACTCACTCACTGCAACTTGAGAATCAATAGGATGTTGAATAAGAGGTTTTTCTTTTTTGACAGTAGATTTTCTAAAACTTGTAATTCGGTCACGCTACAAAGAAAAAAGTAAGAAATTCTAAGAGAGAAACCCAGAATCACAAATACAAGTACTGAAACAACAAAATAGCACTTACTATAATATATATCATTATTGTCTTTTGACAAACTCTTATTTTAAGCAACAAACTCCAGTTAGAGATTGTACAATTTTTTAAACTTGTAGTTCTTCAGTCTCTGAAGTCTGAGATGTGAAAAGTATTCCTCAAAAGTAAACCTTAGTCCCTTCTTATTTCTGTTTTACACAGTAAGTAGGTAAAAAAAAAAAAAAAAAAAAAAAAAAAAAGTCCTGCATCAAAGTGGTTGTTTAAGGGAAAATGTAGCTTTGGTGGCAACTTTTGAACTATGAGAAATAAAGAAAGGAAATAAAAAGACCCCCAATATTCAATTCTAAGGGGGAAATTACAGTAACGTTTCACTCTTCAAAGCACCAAAAATTCTGACAAGTATCTATGTACTTTGTCAGCATAGTGGTTGAGTATAATGGTTAAGAACATAGACTCTGAAGCCACACTGCCTGGGTTTGAATCTGCCCTTTCCTAGCTGAGGAACCCTGTGCAGATTACGTGCATTCTGTTTCCTAATCTCTAAAATACGGATAACAATGGGTGCCTGGGTGGCTCTTTCGGTTAAGTGTCCAACTCTTGATTTCGGCTCAGGTCATCATCTAGGGGTCATGAGATCAAGCCCCATAAAGGGCTCTATGCTCAGTGTGGAGTCCGCTTGAGATTCTTTCTCTCTCTTTCTCTAAAATAAATAAATAGTCTTTAAAATACAGATAACAGGTTAATATATGTTAAATAATGATACTACCTATACCACAGAGTTATTCTGAGATTTAAATAAACTGGTATGTTTAGTGCACTTAGCTGCTATTATTATTGTTGATGTTACTATTATGTCCCTTGTTTTTTTCCCCTAGAAACTGGGGATAACAAGACATCACCTTTTCCATTTAATGGCAATGTTAACATACATAGAAATATCTTATTCCTACAAACACTAGTATGAAGAACTTGATGTTTTATGGATATTGACTCTGAAACTTTGATTCCATGTACAATCTCTAATACTTAGCATAATCTCTAATAATTAGCTTGCTATTTCACATAAAGTGTGTTAATGACTCCAGATACATGTAAACACCCCAATCTGTTATAAACCACAAAACATTAGACCTCAAAAATTAGTAATATCCATAAAACTGAATGTAACTCAGTTTTATTCTGGTTTCTGTTAGAAAGCACATGCATACCATCAACTCATGTTAAACAAGCACACATGTTAGATGTGAGGACAGTAATCTTCACTGCCATGTTACTGAGTCCTTATAAATTGTTTCAACAATACAAACTGTATCACAGAAGTTATTACAACAACTTACATAAATTTCTGTTGACTCCCCTCCCATTAAAAGAACATACTTTTCATTTTGATTCAAAAAACACTTTTTTTTTAATTGAAAGCTGTACTTTGAAAGAAATATGCAGTTTTATGTAGCTTATTTAGGATTACAAAAATTATTTTAGTACATGGTTTCCTACAAAGAGATTATATAAATCAGTGTTTTAGAGCTGGGAAGAAATTTGAAAAATCATCTAAACCAACTCTCTCATTTCACAGAAAAAATGACTCGCTTAATTTATAAGTCCCTGGTTCCGATCACACTGTTCACATTAAGATTCATTTCTTCAAATTATCTTGAACTGTATTCCAATTTTCTTTTAACTCTTTGAGGGAAATTAAGTTGGTTTAGATATGTATTATATTTTCAAACAACTCAAGAAAAAATATTAAGTAATCCCAAATAAGCTTGAGTACATATCCAACAGTCGAATTTCACTAAAAAATATGGTGGACATAAAAACACTTAAATATGCAATCAACCATTAAATCAATGTATCTCTGTTCCTGTCCCTTCATGTCACTTTTGTAGTGCAAGGTTTTTACTGAGTAGCATTATTTACATATATACGTGATCTTCCACTATACCCTTCATTTCTATCTAGAAAAGAGGCTTCTGCTTTCAGCAATAACTTGGTAAGAAAATGATGTTAAGCTATACGCTTTTACCTCCTTGAATCACCAATATTTTACATTATTTGTAATTTCACGAAGAAAAAAATTGACACTGCTTAAAATACTGTATTTTAAAAGTTTAGCTATAAAAGGGCACACTTAATTAAATGTTAAGCCCATAACTTTTAATAAGTTTTATCATGATAGCCTCAGCTCAAAATATTTAAGAGTTTTAAAAGCACATATCTAACATAATAAACTTAGCTTCCTTTCTACTATAAATTAATTTTCCCCAATACTGATATTAATCTTTTACTTAGTCACAGTTTACTTGGCTATCAAAAAAGAAAAAATCTTTATTTTCCAGAGTTAGACGTATATACAAAAAAAATTTTGGTTAAAGTATATGTCAGGATAATATCAAAATTTTATTTAGCTCTAATTCTTTAATATCCATAAAAAGAAAAGTCACTCTCTTGACAAATCTTCCATTTTACTGTACTTTGTAAACATCTAGATCTTTTATATCTTACATATATCAATGCTTTAATGTCCACCCACTTTAGTAAAATAGGCAACATGCATAAGTAACATAACATGCTAAGACCACCTTACCACATCATCTGCCAAAGTTTTTATTTGAATGTTCTATTAAAACCAAAAGGAAAAAAAAGAATACCTGTCAGATAAGAGAAATTCATAAATCAAACAAATTAATAACTGATACCCATTTATTTTATTAATTATAACTAATAAAAATTATCAAAAGTTTAAATATATAACCACATACATTCTTTACAAAAGGAAAAACTCTAAGGATTAAAAATGAAGATTTGGATGGGTGTGTCTATTTGGTTTTTTAAGTTGATAGCGATTTATTGAATTCTGAGTGCTATTTGTTTTTAAAGATGACTAGCAAGGTCCCCAAGTCAGATTTGGATCAGACATCATCACCATAATGCTCAAACATGAGAAAAGATATAGCAAAGTCATAAGCCCTTTCAAGTTTTTTCAAAGTTTTAGAATGAATCATACTTTTAAATTTTTGAAAAATGTCACATTTAATATTAATGAAATAAAATGAAACAGCTGAATCTAGAATTCAGTTACATCTGATAAAGGACATCTTTATAAATATTCTAGATAAAATTAACAGATTCTGTTAACATATGTCCATTTCTCAAAAATTCCAACACTTCTTTTTTGCATGTGGTTTTCTACTTCTATGCTGCAAAGCACTTAAAATGGTGTATCTTAGTGAATAAAATACAGTGGTTGATAAAAACTATCACACATCAAAATGGCGACCACTATTTGAAAAATTAGAGTACAGCAATACTAAAGTAATAAAGCAATTATTGCAATAAAGCAAAGTAATAATAATTTAGTAATCTTCCATGATTGAGAAGGTAATTCAAGATCTTATAATAACATATGATCAGCATGAAGGGCAGTTATTATAGATATGCTGCAATGCTAATTAAAAATTTTGATTAGGAAGGAAAGAGATTTCTAAAAACCACCAGTTAAGAAATGAAATTAATCTTTCTGCCACATCCTATGCATTTATGTCTTACAACAGAAGCTGAATGATGTGCATCAACTTGGTCAAGCTTGCTCACCTCCCTTTTTACTAAGAAAAATGTGGTCATCTCACTGGTAAGAATTCATTATGAGTTCTAAGTAAGTGAGAATTATTTGGTCTCAGGATCTCATGAAATTGTCTTCAAACACCACCAACCAAATGCTGTAAAGGACCGTTCTCCTCTGGATCAGCTGGGACAAATACACTATTATAAGTATAGTTCTTTTTCTAATTTTAATCCACTGATTCCCTCAGGAACCTATACTTCTACATTTTTGTACTATGTCTTCATCACACCCCAATCAAATTTTATTGCCTAGGGAAAAAAAAGGGTGAATATTCATATCAGAACTGAAGCCATTTTAATAGAGATTAATTCACATAGGACTATCTCTACATATTTCCTCTTTAATATTCATACTGAGTTAAAATCTTTATGTACAATGGCAAGCTTCATGATTGCCTGTAATGTAAAATCAGAGTAAGAAATGTCAAATTCTCAGCTACCATGCCACCATCCAGATATGTACCTGTCCACCTGTTGTTTTAGTAGGCACATTATACAGTTCTTCAAGCAATTACTTCTTTTCTTTCTATCCTTTGGAAATATAAACTCAAAGACACATCTGTATCTTCAAAGTGAGAATGTAAAGGGAAAATATAATTTGATTCAGTCAAATTATCTAGCTTAAGGTACAAATATGTCTGGAATGCTTTAAATTTATATCTCAATTGAATGTATGGTGACAGTTTGATCAGGGGGACAGAAACAAGAAAAAAAGTATTGCTAGTTTTATTTCTACCTCATCTTATGGGAAGAAATTTGAGTTTTCTTCTCTAACCCCACTTGCTTTTTTTTTTGAAATTAACTTTTTTGTCCATACTTAGTCTCACGGTACGGAGTTAGAGAATATTAAAGTTGGATGGAATTTAAGATGATCTGGTCAAAACCTCTCATTTTACAAATTATGAAACTGAAGCTAAGTTACCTGCCCGGACCACAGATCTATCTGGTTATGACTACATACTAACTCTCAGTCAACATATAAACTTTTCAGTTAGTATAATCAAGATCTAGGATATTAAGATTGAATTACTGAATTGAAACAGTTCACGGTAATCTCAAATTCACAGATAGCCTGTTTAGGTAACTGCCTTTTCCCATCATTACCCAGGAAGTCAAGCATCTTACCAAAGAGCATTCCCCTGGCACCCAAAGTCCTTGCCAACATGTCTTACATGTAATCTACTGAACTCACATGTGACTAATTGGTTATAATCCACATAAAATGTATATGGAAATGAATTCTTAAATTTTACCTTCCTAATTACTTCTTAATACTGCCACAATTCTAAGAGTCAAACCATTTCTCTAAGCTTTCAAGGAGGATGGCAGGAGGAAAAGTGAGTTCCATTATAACTAATGGAAATACTACATGAGCACAAAGGGGTAAAAATGCTGTTTCAGAGGATCAAGACAGACTTTCAAAAAAGAGGGTAAGTAATATTTATGTTAATGGTAATATCCACATTCCATTTATCCAGGTTTAAGACTTCCATGTCACTCCTTCATTCTCTATAGCCAAGCAGTTGTTAAGTCCCACGGTATATGTTCTGCAATTTCTTCTTCATTTGCATACAAACTATTCCATTTTAGATTCTAATCCCTGGAAACAGCCTCCTAGTAATTATGTTTCCATTCTCTCCTCGTTGCCAAAGTAATCTTAAAGCAAAGATCCGGCTCAAGCCATCATCACCTCTTACCTAGATTTCTATAGTAACATCCTAGCCTGTCTGTCCCCTGCTTCCACCTTTACCATCCTAGTTAATTTTGAACATATCAAAGTGATACTGGTAAAACCAAATTCAGATTATGTTACTCCTTTGCTCAAAACTTTCCAACAGTTCTCTACCTCCACTACAAGCATAAGTCAAAATCCTTACAATGGCCTACAAGGCCCTCCTGATCTGTACTCTCTCCAGATCCCTCTGACCTCATCTCCTATTACTGTCCCTTTATTTCCCTCAGCTCCAGTCACAGTGACCACCTACTGTTCTTCAATGCAATCAGTCACATGCACTGGCTCTTCCCTCTGCCAGCAATGCCCTTTTCTATTTCCATATTTCCATATCCTTTACTCCATAATACCTCCATTTGGAGTTTTTGCTCAGTGAGACCCAACCTGTCCAACCTATTTAAATGGTAACACAGAGGTTACAAGATGGCAGTGGAATAGAGGACCCTAGGCTTGCCTTGTCCAATGAACACAACTAGGTAACTATCAAATCATCTCAATACCCCAGAAACTGACATGAAAACTGACAAAACAAACTGCAACTAAAGGAAGAGAAGAGGCCACATCAAAGAAGGTAGGAAGTGCAGAGACACAGCTTGGGAGAGAAACAGATCTTAGCCACTGCAGTGGGGAGGGAGCTGTGGTCACAGAGAAAGACAAGAGACAAATTCACATGCAGGAGAGCACAGGCAGAAAACAAATCCCTCTAACAACTGGCTTGGAAAGTGAGAGGAGCCAAATTTCAATTTTGTGACTTCTGACAAGCAATAGTGCTTAAAGCCTGGAGTTTTAAAGGTCAGTGGGCTTAGCTGGGATAGAGCCCCAACCGCATTAAGGCAGCTCTTGGAGAGAACACAAGCAAAAGACCTGCAGACACACAGCATGGAAACAGCAATCTGATGACCAACTAGGGCATATGATGGGGAGGTTATTCGCTTATTTCAGAATGCATCCCAGAGAGGCAGCATTCACAGAGAGACCCTCCAGAAACAAAGAAACTGCCAGGTGCCATTTCCTTCCACTGCCTCTCTTCATAAGCACATGGCTACCTGTGTGAACCAGCACAGTACCAACACTCACTACCTAACTTACTTACACCAAACCCTGCCCAACATACCCTGGTGGAACCACACTTCCAGAAGTGCCTCAGAGGCAGCACTGTGGGCCTCCTAATCTAGAAGACTAGTCCAATCCCTGCTCACACTGCATCTCCTGACTTGGGAGATTTGCTCAGTCTCAGTTTCGGAAGCCAAGGCAACAAGCAGACCAGAGCACACCTAGTCAAAATGGGCCACGTTTAGTCCAGGGACCAAACACTGCTAACAGGCAAAGACAGCCTCTGCAGACAATTGCCCTGAAGGATAAAGTGGCCAGCACAAAATAGCACAGCACATGCAGCACACATTGGAGACAATCCCAGAAATGCCAAACCTAGGGAAATAGGGGAAACCACATAGCAGGACACTACAGAACCTCTTCTTCATAAGGCCATTACCCATACGAACAGGAGACATAGCTGACTTTCCTAACACAGAGACTTAGACAAAATGAGAAGACAGAGAAATTTATCCCATATAAAGAACACGACAAGGCCACAACCAGAGATCTAGGTGAAACAGATATAAGTAATATGCCTGATGAAGTATTTAAAGCAATGATCATAAGAATATTCAGGTGGATTGAGGAAATAGTGGAAGACATGAGTGAGACTGAAAACTGAGATAAGGAATAACAGCAGAGATAAAGGACAAATGAACTGAGAAACATGCTTGCTGGAATGAAAAGCAGGCTGGAAAAAGCAGAGGAAGAAATTAATGATCTAGAAAACAGAGTAATGAAAAATAACCAAGCTGCAGATAAGGGAGAAAAAGAATTGTGCAAAATGAGAATAGATTTAGTGAATTCAGGATGCCCTGAAACATAGCAACATTGGTAATACAGAGTCTGAGAAGGAGAAGTCAGAGAAAAGGGGGGCAGAAAATTTATTTGAAGAAACAAAGCTGAAAACTTCCCTATCTGGGAAAGGAAACAGATACCCAGATTCAGGAAGTAGAGAGAAACCCATCAAAATCAACAAAAGCAAACCCATACCAAGACATATTGTATTTAAGTTGGCAAAATTACTGATAAAGAAAAAAATTTTAAAGCAACAATACAAAAGAAGACTAATATACAAAGGAAATCCCATAAGGGTAGCAGGGGATTTTTCATCAGAAGTTTGGCAAAACAGAAGGGCATGGCATGACCTATTAAAAGTGCTAAGTGGA